CTGACCTCTGCAACGTAAGGATTACTTCGGTATCAATATCATGTGTGCACGAGGTGTGGTTCTTCGATTCTCTTGGATATAATGCTGATGAGTGTGTGTGTTGATATCATATCAGCGCATTGTGCTGGTAAGAGGAGCGTCAGTTCGAGTCCTATATTTAACGCTCTTCTTTTTTGTCCGAGATTGGGTACTGATCGTATTCTTTTGTTAGCTTAAGACTCGCAGAGATGGGTGCGATTGTGGGTCTGAAGCGAGTAGTAAGAGAGTCTTCCATAACAACTGGTACGATCCATACATAATTTTCGGTTGTCACTTGATATTGTAATATTAGTAAATCATGCGGAGTAACAATTCTGATTTTGTGTCCGGTCTTGCGGTGAGGTGTCTAGAAAAGAGTCTTTGTTCATGTTGTATCTTCAGTCGGGTGTGTCTTTTTAGTGTTTCTGCTCAACTATGGTCTGCTCATAACGGCGGAGAGGGTTTCCGAGTACTTAAGAGCTAAGCGGACACAAGGGCTAAATCATTCATCAGTGATAAGGTCACCGCCTAGTTTTAAGTGCCATCTGACTCTATAATGTTATTCAAAGGCTGATGCTCAAACGTATATTTGCATATATTCCTTTATCTATACAGTTTTTTACATTCTCTATACTATGACCCGACTTCTGTGGTCGCTTAATGTTCTGGCGTTGTGATTTATTAATTGCACTATGAGTAAGTCTGTCAAGCATATAAGTATGCGCTACTTCAACCATGTAAGCTCATTCACAGCGGAAAGTGGCACTCTATTACACTCGTGTGTGTAAAGACATAATACTCTACAAACTCTTTGTCTCAAGACTAGAAGTCTTCTTTCAATACATTTTTCTCTCTTAGTCGTTACTCTGAAACTATATAGATGTTTGTCTACAACTTGTACCGTCTCAGTAGGAACAAGTGTCGGATGTAAATCATAGCGCACGCTAATATTAGTATGCGTGTCTGTTGGATGTTCGTTACTGTTGACATTTAACTACACTATATACTATAGTGACTGATGTCATGTTTACGATGACCAAGAACTTACTTTCTCTTATTGTCGTGCTATTTTACCTCCACGCCGACGCGTTATAATTACGTCTTGCTTGCTTATCCTTCCTATAAGCTCAACACTCTACAAATTGAAACGAGTGTGTCTTAAATGTTTGAGGATATATACAAATATTGCATGCAACTCTTTGGCCAAAGATTTAACGCTGCTATTATGCGCTCCTGTTATGAATCTAAATTTAACAGGCTCTTTATGTAGTTTGGGGAGTGCATATATGACTGGTAACTCTGCGTTAGCTTCTACTCTAATGTTATTATTAGTGCAAAAAAGCTTATGTTTATCAATAATAGAGTTTATGTTATTATGTTGTATCTTAGTATATGTATTATTAGTGTTTTCATAGCTATACATTCGAGAATGGGCTTCATATGTTATACCCATTTCTTTCATAATTATATACAAATACAATTTTTTACATATAATACCGAAATTATTGTTAGCTTTGTCCAGAGGACAAAATACATAGTCTTTTTTATATGAATTGATTGTTTTATATAGTATCCTTTCTCCTGTACTTTTAATATATGTATTAGTTAATAACGGTTTAATTTTTTTATGATAACTACTATTAAAGTATTGACTTATAGAATTTTCTTTATTCGTTCCTAATTTATATTTTTTCTTGAAGTAGTTAATTAACTGTTTAACTGATTCCGCATACATTTTTTTGACTTCGTTTCTAGTGATGCCCATATCAATCCTATACTTTGTTCCTTTACGTAGTAATTCCCTAAGTTCTCTCTCTTTGACAATATTCAAGTCACCTGTTATAACATGTCCATAGTGATTATTAATATATGCCTGAACTTTTCCAGTTTCACAAATACATTTTTCGTCGAGTATAGTTGTCATTCTATCCATATCTAAATTCTTTAATAAAGAGTTATAGTTATATACTTTACTTGATAAAGTCTTGTTGTATTTATAGATAACCCTTATTGGTGTATAGTGTTTATCCTTATCTTTGTTAGCAAATAAACAACGCTTAAGAGTAGGCGAATTAAAAATGCTATTAAAAGGTATGTAGTTAAAAATTCTACTACGGAAATCTATAATTATATTGTGGAATTGGACAGTTTGTTTTACATCTTCACATGTACTACGATGAAAGTGAGCTAATAAACAAAACACTAGAAATCTAGTTTTGTTACTAACATTTTGTAAAAACTCATCACTCATGGAGTGTTTAATCATTTCTCTTAGTTCCATTTTCCTTAAACTTTTGAGTAACCTATAAAACTCCATAGGTTTAAGCTCATCGTCTTTTCTTATAACTTCATCAATTACCTGTCCATAAGTGTAATTTTTGTTCTTTTCCTTCTTACATTTTTTCTTACCTCTATTATCTCGTTGTTTAGTGATTTTTAAAGAGAAATAAGGAGGTTTATTTTTAAGCATCAAAGGGTTAGTAATATTTGAAATGTTACCATACCCTTTAATATTGTCATTCAAACCAAATGGGTATGGTGTCATCAGTAGTTTTAATCCAGAATATTTCTTTATCTAGTAAAACGCTTTTATCATTAGTATCCAATGAATCTAGTATTGTAACAGTAATTCCTTTATTACATGCGTAAAAGTGGTTATACAGTATTGTGTTTTTATTTATGTTTATATATGTTTGTAATATGTTCTCCTATCCTATTCCTTTACTTTTCTTATTGTCATTCCCACATATTGTATTCCACAATTATTACAGGTTATGCAATATATAACTTTACTGGTGTTGCAATTGGTATTAACTCCCTTATATGTTTTAACGCATAAACCTGTAACATGTGAAACAATATGATTATCTATACTAGTAACACTGCACGTTTCTACAATTCCTATTACATTTACATCCTTTATTGTCATTGCCAAAATCAATAAGTTGATAGCGATTGGCCTCTCCCCTTACCTTTTTGAAATTTGTTTTTGTATAGTAGAAGGACGCAGTGTTTTTTGAGTTGTTTTTTGACCTATGATCTAAGCGCATGGTTGGCCAAAACCACCCGCAGAGAGGTACCTCTTCGACCGGCAGTGTACTTACTTTCGCGTGCGCCACCATGTGGCGCACGCCGCCACCCAGGGTAGGGTTCTTTATGTAGACTTATGCGAGCAAGCCAGGGTTAAGACGGGGCTAAAGTAAGGTGTCCGTGTCTCATCATCCAAAAGAAGAGATTTCCGTTGACGACAAGTTCGTAACCCGCCTTTCCGCTTTAAACAACTAGGGTGCAAAGAATGCATGGAAGCTGTAGGTGACATTATCGAAAAATGCGAAACAACAACCCCGAGCAAGGATGTGGCTATATTTAGGGGAAGGGGTCTCGGGACGTGCGAACCATGGGTAAGCCACCCATCAAATAATAAACTTATGTAAATTAAGACAAAATGTATGTAAAATTTATTGTAGGTTTGTCAAAAATCCAGCCGTCCAGGTCCTGGGAAGATATGTTATTCCACATTGCTGAGAGTATATATGGGTATATTAAGATTGCTAGAAACATTCCAAAAACAAAAGAAATAGTCGTGCGCCACCTTGTGGCGCACGCCGTCCGTTATGGGTTAAGTAGAGCTTCGTATACGCCTACTGGGTCGAATTGTTTTCCCAAAAGCTCGTAGGCTGTAAGAATAATCTCATTCTCACATTGTTGCCAGCGAAATTAAGTAAGGTCGCAATGTAGTAATACGACGATGTCACACTACATCAACAATTAAAACAAGATTAATAATTTGAAGCGAACGACCATTGCCGAATTTTGACACCAGAACACGCCGCCTATCAAATTTTTTTTTGGAATTTTCCAACTGTAAACTTCCTCCCAATAATTTTTGTTTCACAACCCACGATCCACCCACAAAACGTCCCGGCTTGGCAAGAACCTCCGTCAATGGCACTAACGCACGTGCGGCCTCAAACAGGAACTTTTGCATCGGTGCAACGTCCGACTATCCCGATTCTTATGGATAGACCAAGCTAATTCGGCTTCCGTTAACAATAGCTTTTTTTTTGAAACTACTACTTCTTAGTCACCGTTTAATTGCAAAACCTAACCAAATGTATCGTCATTATCTGAACTGTTTCCCACTAGTTTCCCATATTTGAAGCTAGAAGACAGAGAATCATGCCAAACTTGCCTCCATCGGAGTATACCACATTCAATAGCATACATAAGCAAAGTTGTAATAAAAATCGTTTTTAGACAAAAGCTAAGCTAGAGCTATGAAGAAAAGCTCTTCAAGACGGTAAATCCCAACAATCGATTGAATGAAGCATGCAAATGTGGAGTGTAAGAAAACGACAAAACTTTCTGAAACGCATAATACTTCCATTTGTACATTCGTAGTGGCGTTTGAATGCGATGTGGCCTATACAATGACTTGCGGGGGCCAGCCGATGTACAAGTCAGTGTTTTTATCCTCCCAGACAAGTCTGGTACCAATTAACCGACCCCGGAGGGATGGAAGGCTTGGTTGGCCCGGGCGACTCACGACCCAGGATTTGATCCCCGGACCGCTCGCGTGGTAAGCGTGCCACTTGCCACTACATAACTACATCAAATTATACTTGGGCTATTGTACTTGCTTACAAATTACGCACAATGACACTAAATAGTTTTGATGTGGTCGTTAAAGTGCGCCTTGAGACAGCTCTTTCTGGCCTCGGGAAATGGCTGCACGCCGCACAATACAGCAAAAACCAAGAATGTTCCAGAAAATTCGAAAATATCAACCAAAATAGCTTTCGGAGCAGTCGATATTTATTCATAGAAAACTTAACGTGCCTTATCAGCATCAATATATTTATTATAAATTAAAATTATTAGTTCATGCAATTAAATGTTGACAACACGCAGCAACTTCATACATACATATTCCATCTACATAGATCATACTATGATATCCATTCTACGGTAAAATGTATTTTCTACTTGATTTTGGTTCTGTAGCCGTCCTCATCAAGGCTGTTTGGTGCGATATTATTGGTAAGCGATGGCTTGGCTTTGACCCCTTTAGAAGCCCTGCTGCTACCGTATCCGACGTTCATCGTGAATTCCACCTGAGGTCCTCCTCCATAATTCGCATAGTTACCCTGATTACCACCATCTTGGTAGCCATAATTCGTTCCATATGCGCCACCGTAGCCACCCGATGTCTGCATTGGACTGTAACTATCAGTCTGATAACCGGTGTTACCATAATTTTGCGCATAACCGTACTCCTGAGAGGGTTTATAATAATCGTGGCCACCGTTCTGGACGTCGGAGCTGCCATACTGCCAAGACGGTGCTGCCATACTGCCAGGATGGTGCGTAAGTTGACTGATAGCGACTGGAATCCGGTGAGCCGTATTGGTTCCAGGCGTTGTTGTTGCCATAGTTTTCCTGTTGGAAATAACCGTTGTCGCCACTGTAGTTGATCCTGAACCTGGTTGTATTCCGTAGGTTGAGCCTGTGTACGAGGGGACCTGATTGCTAGACCCTGCGTAGCTTGTCTGACTGCCTGTGCCAGCGTAGTTACCGTAATTGTAGCTTTGTTGACTGGTGCTACCGTAATCGGCTCCTGATTGTGAGACACGTAGGAATTTGCCGGTATAACTCTTACATGAAGGAGGTGAACTGATAAGTGGAGCTCGGATACTGATAACCCGTATATCCTGAACTCGGCATCTTCTCCACCTCCATGTTACCGTAACCAGAATTCTGACTGTAGCTATTATCAGCAGTTGGGTAATTCTCCTGTGGCCACGACGACTGTTGAAATGGACTTTGCCATCCAGAATTATCATAACCCTGTGTGGGAAGGCTGCTATAACCTTGCTTTTGATACCCTTGACCGCTCCATTGCGTATTCATTCCATCGCCCACTTGGGTCCCGTAGTTCAAATAGTCGTCACTGCTGTACCGATTACTACCGTAGCTGTTATCTGAACCTCCTTGGTAACTTGCACTATACGGATTCGAATAGCTGCTGTACACTGGATCTGGGCTACTGTATCCTGTTGAAGGCTTTGAAAATCCACCAGTGTAGTCCATATTGCTAGCGTAGACTCCTAAAATGCAATTTTTAGAACATCACTGGTATATATGTGTAAAGTCACAATCTATGTATAGAATGTTAACGATTAAAATGCCCATTGTAATGGGAAACTTTATACTCGAGCAAGGTTGACTCTCGCCGCTCCGCGCTAAATATATTATGCCACCACTTAATGGACAGAGACGTGTCCGCGTATGGAAACACTTGGAAGCATAACCAGGACTAGTCAGTGTGATAGCCGTTAGACGTGGGAGAGAGGCGGGTCTACCGGCCTCGCGGCACGAAATCGCAGGGCAAAGCATAAATGCATTAGGATTCAACTCAGTGTCCGCGATTTTGCCCATGTATTGACGTCATTGGCTTGGTAGTACTTGCACTTATCCAAGCTGTCTACTATTCTTTTGACTCTCTTCAGCCCTCAGTACCTCTTACCTCGCTGTTTATGTCTGTGGCGCGGCGTTATTTTTCAAGATTTCAGCAGTTTCTTTTCTCACTTTCTTCACTGTCTGTTCATGGACGCACTTGTTTCTTGTTTTCGGCCAAAATGACCTAATAGGAGCCTTGGACCCCAAGAGGGTCAGCAAGGGATCATTGCCAGAACGATTTTATCGTACTCTTATCAACGCAACGCAGGGATAGATCTAAGATGACAAAAAAGTGGAGCTCTACAGTAATTATTAACTAACATTCATTAAAGTGAAGAAAAATTCAGCAGAAGGTTAATAACCATGAAGTTCAGCAGAAGTGTTAGAACCCGATGCGTCCATTCATCGAGATAGTCTTCTTCTTCTTCTCCCTAGCGTTAGTCCCGCGCAGTCGCAGGGTCCGCTGTTTTTGTCAGCCGTCGCCACTTTGCTCTGTCCAGGGCATCTTCCATCGTGGCCGCGACCTCACCTAGGTCCTTCTTGATTACGTCTTTCCACCTTTTCTTCGGGGCTCCTCGCGGTCGCTTGCCTTGTACTTCGAAGTCCATCGCTGTTCTTATCGGATGGTCCTGTGGCCTCCTTAGCACATGCCCATACCATCGCAGACGCTGTTCTCGTACCTTTAGTTGGACAGGGGCAGTCTGCATGACCGCTCTGACGTCCTCGTTTCTAACCTTGTCCAGCCGCGTCCAGCCGCAGGCCCATCTCAGCATCCTCATCTCAGCGGAGTGAAGCTGCCTTTCGTGATCCTTGTTCAGGGGCCAGCACTCGCTGCCGTATAGCATCGCAGGCCTTACCACTGTCCGGTACACCTTCCCTTTGAGCGCTCTGGAGCACCTTCGATCGCAGAGGATTCCAGTGGACTCCCTCCATTTCATCCATGCAGCGTTGACCCGAGCCTTCACCGCCTGATCCACACTACCGTCGGCTGCCAGATCGCTCCCAAGGTAGCGGAAGTCCTCCACTCTTTCGATGGTCTCACCATGGCCGTCCACGATCGGCTCTGCACCCTCTTCGGAGCTCAGGAACTTGGTCTTCTTGACATTCAGCCGTAGCCCGCCTTCTGCCAGGACCTTCTGCCATTGCTGCACCTTGGCTTGGAGTTCCTCTCTACTATCAGCTATCAAGGCGACGTCGTCAGCATAGAGGATAGTCTTCAGTGGTCCCTCCATGAGCCCCTTCACCAGGCCATCTAGTGTTAGGAGGAAGAGGAACGGGCTCAGAGCTGACCCTTGGTGCACCCCGACCGTGATGTCCACCTCCTTCGTTAGGCCGTATGGGGTGCGTATAGCTGCCTTGGCTCCTTCGTACATATCCCTCACCAGAGAGATGAGGTGTTCTGGCACGTTTCGTTCCCTAAGCGACCTCCATAGCACTGCTCGCGGTAGCCGGTCGAACGCCTTCTCCAGGTCGAGGAAGGCTAGGTAGCAAGGCCTGCACTTTTCGCGATACTTCTCCATCACTTGCCTAGCGATGAAGATGGCATCCGTTGTAGACCTTTCGGGCATGAACCCGAACTGTTCCTGGGAGATCTGGACAAGGTCCCGCAGTTTCGAGTCGACCAGGCGCTCGTACAACTTCATGGTATGCGCAGTCAACTTGATGCCGCGGTAGTTGGAGCAGTCCATCGCGTCACCCTTCTGCTTGAAGATGGGGACGATAGTACTTGTTCTCCAGGCATCCGGCATCCTTCCTTCGGCAGTCACCGTATTCAGGAAGGGTGAGCCACCTTCACCCCGTGCTCTCCAACATTCGCCGGGGGGGCGGCGGGACGGCGCGCGGCGGCGGGGGGGCCGCCCGGGCCGGGGAGGGGGGGGATGGGGGGCCTCCAAGCCTCTATGGGTACTCCATCTGGACAACTGCCTTTCCAACCTTCATCTTCCCAAGTGCACGCCGAACCTCGTCCTCTGTCCAGAGTGCGATGGGACCAGCTGTGGCCTCTGCCCGTGAGTTGTTCTCGTGGGAGAACTCCTCGTTCAGAAGACCTCTGAAGTACTCTTCCCACCTCCTCCGAAGACTGGCGGGCTCAGTATGGGCTTGTGATCTTCACGCTCTTCACCACCCTGATATCTTGAGTAGCCCGATGCCGGGCTTTGGCCAGTCTGAAGACGAACTTCTCTGCGTTTCTGCTTTCCAACTTCTCGTACAAGGCGTCCATCTCCGTGTTCTTTGCCTTGGCTACGGCGGCCTGGGCGAGCCTCTTGCAACTTTGTAGGCAGCGAGGTCTCGGGCTCCGGGTCTTCTGCCAGCGCTTGTATGCTTCCTTCTTCTGCTTCACGACTCGCTGGACCTCCTCGTTCCAGAACCACGCTGCCTTGTCTCCTCTGAATCCACCTCGCGTCTCTCCCAGTACCTCCTTGGCGCATCGTAGGATGATCTCAGCTGCAGTGCCCCAAGCCTGCTGCACTGGTCCCTCAGGATCTGGGAGACCAACTTCCATTATCCTTCGCTTGAGGTCGCTCTTCTCTGCACGGTGCAACTTCCACCACCGGATTCTCCTCTCGGTTCTTACCTTTGTCTTCTTGGGGAGCTCCATGGCTATGTCTGCCAGGAGTGGCTTGTGCTGGGAAGCCAGCTCCTCGCCAGGGAGTACCTTGACGTCCTTCACAGTTCTGAGGGATGATCTTTTTACCAGCACATGGTCGATTTCCGTTTGTCGTCCTCCACTGCTGTAGGTGACCTTGAGTCTCCCTTTTCGCGAAGAACGTGCTGCAGATTGCCAGATCGTGGGCCGTAGCCAGGTCCAGGACCCTCTCTCCCTCGGCGTTCCTCACTCCTATCCCTCTACCTCCGTGCACCCTTTCCCGGCCTCTCCTGTCACTGCCGACGTGGCCATTCAGATCACCTGCTATGGTCAGGTAATCGCCTTCCGGAATCGTTCTTATGGCTTCGTCCAGGCTCAGGTAGAACTCGTCCTTCTCACTTTCGGGGCATCCGGTCTGCGGTGCGTACACTGAGAGTATTGACCAGTACCCCTCCTTCGTGTCTATCCTCACAGCCATGATCCGATCGCTGATCCTGTTCACAGCGGAGACATAGTCCTTGAGCGACTCCGCTACCGCTATGGCCACACCGTTCCGCTTGGTGTCTTCTCCATTGTAGTAGAGTTTGACACCTTCCCCGATTTCCCTGGCCTTAGCACCTTTCCATCGCGTCTCCTGAAGGCATAGGACTTGGATATTTCCTGCGCGTCATCAGATCAGCAACCTCTCGGGACTTCCCAGTTAGCGATCCTACGTTCAGAGTCCCTATTCGAACTAGCTTCTTTGGCCGAGGCCGTTCACTCCTCGGTAGCCCTCGCATACTGACCACAGAACTCGGGCGGGGGTTCTGCGCGCCACTTCCGGGTGACGTCCTAGCTTTATCACTGATTCTTTTGCGACTTTTAGACATGTTGGTGTGACTGGGGTATTCATCAGCCGGCCTGTCAACCTGGGCCTGACGCTGGTACTAGAACCATTTTTGCAATTTTTGCAGGGCATGGTTTCGAACCTCGGCAGGGATCGAACTCGCGGTTTTTCAGAGGTGCAGACATGAGTCTAACCTCTTAACCACTCGGCTATCCCTGCCTAATCGAGGAGTAGTAGTTGTGCTTTGAGAGCTTTTAGTTCTTAGTTTGGGTGAGGTCTTGTAGCAGACAGCAATATCCCGAATTGAATGATGTATAGTAGCAGTTTGCTTTTTTTAAAAATAATTTCATACAGCCCAGAAAAGGTTGGCGGAGTTGGGTGTGTTCAAGCGAATGATGTAACTGATGAGTGGTCACGAAAGGGAGGTCGCTTCATTGTGCATGAAAACTAATGTAGCCAATGGAGCTTTATCTTTGATCAATTTTGTGTTCTATAGAGCGAAAAGTTCAATCAAGGTGCTATATATGAGAATGTATAGGAATGACCGACGAAACATCTTACTAGGCAGTGCTTCTTGGCTCTATCTATAATGGCATTTCGATTTCGATAAACGTCAGTAAAAACGTTAGAGGTAATTCATGAGGCACTGCCACCCAGCTGTCGCTCCTCCCATCACGTACTTGCCCATATTTTCAAATTAGGACTCAATTTTTCTCGAAACGTGCTCTGAGGGTAATACTGGGATCTCTTCCGAATCGAATAAACACGCTTGTGTAAGTGTCGGAGGGGCTTAGGACATAGGAGGATAAGAATGCACTTAAATTTTTGGGAACAGTAGTAATCAGCAATCAAGAATGTAGGTTGTGAGACCATGGAATGTTCTACTATTCTGGAACAAATGTATACATGAGCATTTTTATTTGCAGAGAATTTTTTTATGGAATACATATTATATAGTTGTTACCTGATCTACC